TTCTGTCTTTGAGTCTATTTATATGATTAATGATGTTTATTGACTTGCGTGTATTGAACCAGGCCTGCATCTCTGGGATAAAGCCTACATGATCATGGTGAATGATCTTTTTGATGCGTGTCTGTATGTGGTTTGCAAGTCTTTTGTTGAGAATTTTTGTATCTATGTTCATTAAAGATATGGGTCTATAGTTTCATTTTTTGGTTGTATCTTTACTGGGTTTGGGTATTTGAGTGATGCTGGCTTCATAGAAAGAATTTGGGAGTTCTCCCTCTGTTTCTATCGTTTTGAATAATTTAAGTAGTATAGGTTGGAGGTCTTCTTTAAGTGTCTGGTAGAATTCTGCTGTAAATTCAGCTGGGCCTGGGCTGTTTTAGTTGGGAGGCTTTGTATTCCTGTTCCAATTTCCTTATATGTTATGGGTCTGTTTAAATTGTTGATCTCTTATTGGTTTAACTTTGGTGATTCCCATGATTTCTGATATCCGTCCATTTCTTTTAGATTTTCAGATTTAGGAGTGTATAGGTTTTTAAAATATTCCTTTATAATGGTCTAGATCTTTTGAGCATCTGTTGTGACGTTTCCCCTTTCATCTCTGATTTTATTTGTATTTGCTTTCTTTCTTTTGGTTAACTGGGCTAAGGGTCTGTCTATCTTGTTTAGCTTTTCAAAGAACCAGCTCTTAGATTCATTGATTCTTTGTATTATTTTCTTTGCTAAGATTTCATTAATTTCTGCTCTGATTTTTGTTATCTACTCTCGTCTGCTGGGTTTGGGTTTCCAGTGGTCTTGCCTTTCCAGTCTTGAGTTGCAGTGTTAGGTCATTTATTTGGGCTCTTTCTAATTTTTTAATGTAGGCACTTAAGAGCTATAAACTTCCCTCTTAGGACTGCTTTTAATGTGTCCCAGAGGTTGTGTTTGTTGTAATGTCCCTTTCGTTGAATTCCTGGAATTCTTTCATTTCTTAATTTCTCCTTTGGCCCATTGTTAAGGAGTGTGTTGTTCAATCCCTATGAGTTCATGTAGTGACTAGGGCTTTCTCCAGTATTGATTTTGAGCTTTATTGCATTATGGTCCGACAGAATGCATGGAATTATGTCAATTTTTTTGTATTTGTTGAGGTTTGTTTTGAGGCCCAATATATAGTCAATTTTTGAAAAAGTTCCATGGGTTGCCTAGTAGAAAGTATATTCTTTGGTGCTTGGGTGGAATACTCGAAAGATGTCTGTTAGGTCCATTTGATGTATGGTATCTTTTAATTCAGACATCTGATTATTCTTTGTCCAGTTGACCTGTCTAATGGAGACAGTGGGGTACTGAAGTCTCCCACTATTACTGGGTTGGGGTTAATCTGTTCTTGAATTCCTATAGTGTTGTTTTTATGAATTTGCATGCACCAGAGTTTGGTGCATATGTTAAGGATTGTAATATCTTCTTGGTTAACTGTTCCTTTGATCAGAATGAAGTGACTCTCTTATCTCTTCTGATTAGTTTTACTTTGAAGCCTATTTTGTCAGATATTAGAACTGCAACCCCTGCTTGTTTCTTAGTGCCATTTGCTTGGAATATTCCTTTCCATCCTTTTACCTTAAGGTAGTGCCTGTCCTTGAAGGTGAGATGGGTTTCTTGTAGACAGCAAAGAGACAGATTTTGTTTCTTAATCCATTCCCTTAGCCTGTGTATTTTGACTGGGGACTTCAGTCCATCGGTATTTAAGGTTATTATTGAAAGATGTGTATTGGTTGCTGTCGTTTTGATTGCTGTTTGTGTTCTCTAATTTTATGTTTCCTAGATTATACCTTTATTTTCTTTCATTGCCCCTGGCATATAGTTGTTTCTCTCTCTGTTCTCTGTATTGCTTCAAGTATTCTTTGAAGGGCTGGTTTTGTGGACATGTATTCTTTCAGGCTATTGGTGTCACGGAAAAATTTTCTTTCCCGCACAACTATAATAGACATTTTTACTGGGTATTCTGGGTTGGCATCTACTGTCATTTAGAACTGGAAATACCTTGGTCCAGGCTCCTCTGGCTTTCATAGTTTGCATTGATAAGTCAGCTGTAATTCTGATGGGCTTTCCTTTGTATGTGACTTGTTTTTCTTTTGCTGTTTTCAGTATTCTTTGTTCTGTACATTTAGTGTTTTTACCTGGATACATTGTGGGGAGTTTCTTTTCTGATCCTGTCTACTTGGTATTCTATGTGCCTCCTGTATTTGTATAGGGATGTCTTTCCTTAATTTCAGGAAATTCTCTTGTACAATCCTGTTTAAGATCTGGTGAACACCATTAACCTGAAATTCTTCTCCTTCCTCTATTCCTCTGATCCATAGATTTGGTCTTTTCATGGTTTCCCACATCTCTTGCATAGTCCATTCTTGTGTTTTTAAATTTTTTCCATACTCTTTGCTTGAGGGATCCAATTCTTCAACTCTATCCTCCAGTGTTGATATTCTGTTTTCCATTTCATTCATTCTAGTGGTGAGGTTTTCCCCTGTCGTTTCAAGTTGGTTTATTGAGTTTTGCACTTCCTTCATTTCTGCCTAAGTTTTCTTCAATGTTTCTCTTTTTTAATTCATTCATAAGTTTATCCTTATGTTTTTTTAGCTCTTTGACTTGTTTGCTTCTGTGTTCTTTAAATTCATTGAATTCCTTGATCATGTTTATGATTGTTCTTTTAAATTCAGTGTCCTGGGTTATCACTAGGGGGTTCTCCTTGTAGAACTCTTCTATGAGATTGGTGGAGTTTGGTGGGGACACAGTGCTTTTGGCTTTCCATTTTATTATTCTTTGTGATTTTGGCATATGAATTTCTTTTGTTGTTTATGATTCTGGTATGCGAATTATGTTGAAGTATGCTTCTGTTTGTATTACCGGGGTCCCTAGATTCTTTCTTATTGGTTATGTAAAGCTGGTTGGTACAGGGTTCAGGTTCTCTCAGGTTTAATTCTGAGGGAAGTGATGGCTTCAGATCAGCTATTCAGGAGTACACACAGAAGCCCAATTCAGGTTCCAGTCAGGTACACTCAGGCTTCCTTCACTACATGGGGGCAGGATCAGGGGCTCTCAGGCAGTCCCAAGTTCTCAGGCCCTCTGCCAGAGGGAGGCCAGAACTCAGCACTCTCTGGAGGTCTGCTGAGATAAGAGCTGCTACAGTGATGGAGGTCCAAACCTACCCTCTCAGGCTTTCTGCTAGGATCTCAGCCTGAGCCTACCAAAGCTAGATCTGCCCTGGGGCCTTGGGAGGGGCCTCACAAAATCCCAGGTAGGGGGGTGGGTATGGCACAATTAGGGGAAGCTTACCACCACTTGGAGAAGCTCACCACCACATGGAGGCAGGATCCAGGAGCTCTCAGGCAGTCCTCTGCATTCTCAGGCCCTCTGTCAGAGGGAGGCCAGAGGAAGGCCAGAACTCTAGTGGTCTGCTGAGATCAGAGCCACTATACACAGATGGATGTCGAAACCCACCTTCTCAGGCTGTCTCTAATAACTTTGGTCTTTAATTAAACTTGTACATAATACCTTGCATTAACAGACCAGGTGTAAGAATTACATTCAAAACTATAGTAACTGTATAGACAGCTAATTCCAATAAATTGATATAGTGATAAATTATTCCTTATTTGAAAATGTCGACTTATTATATGACCCCAAATTCCACACTAATACATAGACCATCCAAGAGAAATTAAAACATGCATCCACCACAAAACTGGTACATGAATGTTCACAGTAGCATTATTCACAAAAGTCAAAAATGGAAATAATGTAAATGTTAACTGGTGATTATATTATAAAAATGTGGTATACCTATACAATAGGATACTATTCAGCAAAAAGACAAAGAAAGACAGAGACAGAGACAGGAAGAGAGGAATATGAATAGAGTAACAACATGGAGAAACCTTGAAAACATCATGCTAAGTGAAAGGCCTAAAGAACCACATATTCCATGATTCTATTCATATGAAATGTCCCAAATAGACAAATCAATAGATATAAAAAGTAGACTAGACGTTACTAGGGGTTGGAGGAACAGTGTACAAGGAGTAACTTCTACTGAGCATAAGATTCTATTGGGAAGTTGATAATTTTCTTAGATATGGTAACTATTCAACTTTGTGAATGAATATATATTAGTGTATAGATATCAGTATATCTACTTACTTGCTAATTTAAGTAGATGGATTATTAGATGGATTATATCTCAACAAAGCTATCATTTTTTTAAAAAAATTCAATTGATGAGTACAGATGTAGGAGATCTGTCATATGTTCATCAAAAGATACATAAGGTTATAATTTACCATTAACTTAATGGAAATACTAGTTACGGTTAAATACATAAAAGCAACATTGGGCTGAATATTATCAATATGGTTTTCACTTGAAGTAACAAAACAATGCTGGTATATTCCAAGGTACCTAAGCCTTACTTGAGTAACTATGCCTTATTTTGAGCAGAATGCCTACAGAAAGTCTAGTACAAATCCAGAAGACTTCAAGAGAATTGAAAAGAAGAGAAAAAATGATGTCACATAATAAATACTTAAAGGAATAAAGCTTGCATTGCATGGTTGCACATACATGTAAACCCCACTGTACTCAGGAGGCTGAAGCAGGAAAATCAAGTTTGAGATCACTCTAGGCTATGTATGTGTAAGCCCTGTCTTTAAAAAAAAAAAAAAAAAAAAAAAAAAAAAAGAAGAAGAAGAAGAAAAACAAAGCTGGATGTGCAATAAATCTCATCCTGGGCTAAAACTAACTGTGCTATGACTGCCTCCTTAGAACACCTCTCCATAAACAGACACAAGTCAATACTTAAACACTCCAGGTGAGACTATTTCAAAAAGAATTCCTATAATATGTGGTAGGTAGAAAGTGATTTTTTAAATTCTCTAACAATTCTAAAATTCTGGTTTAATCCCAACTCAAAATTACCTAGCAAAACAAATTAAGTAAATGCAGGACATCCCCCAAAGTAGATGATTTAAATTGTTTACCTCATTGTTCTGTAATGGTTTTCCACTTTTCTTACTGCAAAGGAAAAAGAGAGAGATTTACTTTATTTGCTACATGTTACCAATATTAAGATTATTCTAAAAGGTTAAAAAGAAAGTATCAGTAAGGCTAGAGAAATGGCTCAGTGGTTAAGAGCACTGGCTGTTCTTGCAGAGGACCCGGGTTCAATTCCCAGCCACATGATGGCTAACAACCATCTGTAACTCCAGTTCTTCTGACCTCCACGGGCACTGCACAACATGGATGTACCTACATATGTGAACATTTACACACATAAAATTAAATAAATAAAAAAAGAAAATAACAAATTCTCCAAATGGGTGTATTCTTTTTCATACCCTCTGGAGGCAAACTCGTTCATTAAGAATAGTACAGTTGTCAGGTAGTCCAAGAGACACCCAAAATTACACAGGCTATTGCCATAGCCTTTGCCTCCCAGAACTTTAAGATAAGACCCTATTGCTGAAGATAGATTTCAGACACAGGATTTGAAGCAATGGAGCTGGAACTGACCTGGAAGTCACCTCTCCTGAGGGCCAGCTCTCATAGCTTTGGAGAACGCTATGCAAGCTAGAAGGGTAAACATCAATCGATGGTCCAACCCCAGCTTCAAGGCCTAAAAAAACCACATCAATGACCAGCACAGCAAACAACATTGCTGTAGTAGTGGCACCTTTATCTTGGGGGTAATCAACAGCTACCTAATTGGACTTAAAGCCCACTCCTGGGAGGAGACTCATGTGTGGTACTGTAAACATAGCCAAATACCATAGATCTTAGAGAAAATCCCAAGGCTCTCATATCCCTAGACAAATGTAATTTCTTACTATGTACAAAATATGGATTCTTAAATTTACAAACAAGTATCCTTGTTACTACCCATCAAAGAAGCTTTTTCAGACAGAGATTATTACAGAGTTCCACAACTGGTCACACACAGATTGTCTGTGACTTGCCTAAACCTAAGTGGCACATCTATGATGCAACCTCTACACCTAAGGCTCATGGAACATAGAACAAGGGATGAAGAGAACACTAATGCATCTTTCAGTTCTCATCAATGAACCACCCCCTCCCCCCATGTAACTGAGGGCCAGGAAAACAAAAGGTAACAAATGATCAAAATGTAGAGAATAAGAGTTTACAGAGTCCTTGGACAGGACTCCTTTATTAAAAATCCACCCACCCAGGACTCAGGGACCATTGCAGAGGAGGGGATGGAAAGATTCTAAGAGCCAGGGAGGAGGTGCATGTTCATACAGAAATAGAGTCCTACAGGCTCCTGGGACTCTTCTCATAGGAACCTACTGCAATGGTGTCAGCATGCACAAGACCCATGCAAGCTCAAGCAGACAAAAACCCAGTACAGAACTGTGGAAATGGACAGCAGGCCAATCTCAGTCAAAGAATTATTGGAAGCTGATTACTGCTGGGTGAGGAAGAGCTGATCTTCTTAAAAGGAGGGTCTAGATAGGCTGACTAGATCTCAGTGGATGAACTTGCACTGAGTGACTTCTGGGGACACTAACTTAACATGATAGACCTTAACACAAATGGGACAGAATATATGAATTCAAGTTGGGGTGCTATAACAGGGGGGTCAATAGGGAAGGGGATGATTAAGATGTTCTGTGTGAAATACACAAAAATTCAATTAAAAAAATTTAAAATAGAATAGTCCAGTTGTCTAGGTGTGGTGGCATACACCTTTAATCCCAGCACTCAGGAGGTATAGGCAGGCAGATCTCTGTGAGATGGAGGCCAGCCTGGCCTACATAGTTAAGTTCTAGGCCAGCTGGGGCTACAGGGAAACCCTGTCTCAAATCCTTCTCCCAAAAAAGGATAGTCCATATGTTTCTATTTCAGGTCCTCTACCTGAAATGCTTGTGTAGAGAGAAGTGTTTCAGATTTTCCAATTTTTCAATTTTTAGAATAGCTGCACAAATTTTACTAGATGGATGTCCCTAAGCCAAAAATCCACATGCTCAAAAGTTACATTATTTCAGATTTTCAGAGAGAACATGTTTAACCTGTACTAAGTACTGTTTACAGAAAGTGATTACTAGTACTACAAAACAGATACTGTTTGGTTGAGTGTCTGTGGGTACATGTGTGTAAATGCCCACACATGTACAACTGTTCTGTAAATCCTCCCAAAGCTACTTCTCCATTCTTGAATCAAAGCCTGGCCACAGTTTTGGTCAATGGGACTTTAGTAAACTAACACAAGCTAGATGTGTTAAGACTTTTCTTCACTGTGAAAAACACCTGAGAGAAAGATCTCAAGAGAAGACTTCCTTTTCCCAGTTTCAGAGGTTTTAGTCCACCATGGCAGGGAAGGCATAACAGAGCAGAGAGCTCACACCACAAAGGCTATGAGACAGCACTCTGTGAGAGTACGTCGCCTTTCCCTTTTACCCATCTAGGTTCCCAGTCTACTGGATGGTGCTCCTTCCCATCCCTTAATTCACTTTAGAAATGCCCTTACAGACAGTACCAGAAGTATGCTTTACTATTTTCTGAATGTTTATCCATCCAGTTATATTGGCAAATGAGGTTAACATTATAGAAACTTTTTGTACTTTGGGTCCTCTCTCTTGTTGCTGGGAATGTTCCTCCCAATCATATAGGTAACCAAACCTAGGCTCCTTGCCTCAAACATGAGAGGACACTTGCCATTTCCATATTACAAGTGAGGAAACTGACCTGAAAACAGTAGTCCCAGGTTCATGCTCTCATTAGTCTATGTTCCCTCCCTAAACAGTATCTATCCTGACCTAGGTCCAGATGATAACACACTATCCTGGTACCCTGTGCTTCTTCCATGTAACATTAATCACATTTTAAAATTCTTGTTTGCTATGTATTTCCTTCCATTAAACTAATCCCATAAGATCAGAAGTTATTACAGATTAGTTTCTCTTAAATTGAGGTGATGGCATATTTAAGATATGCAAATCTACATCAGTGACTCAAAGGGGAGAAAGTTAGTTTGGGTAGAACTCAAACAGACTTGCTGGATAGCTCCAGTTGTCAACTTGACACTCCTGGGTGGAGGGAACCTCAACTGAGGAACTACTTCCATTGGATTGGTCTGTGAGCATATCTGCGGGATATTTTCTTGATCGTTGAGTGATATGGGAGAGCCCAGCCAACTGTGGGTGGTGCTACCCCTGGGCAGGTGGGCCTGTGTTGTATAAGAAAGCAGGCTGAGCACAGGTCAGGGTAGCAAGTCAGTAAGCAGTGTTCCTCCATGGTCTGTGCTTCAGCGCCTGCCCCCAGAGTCCAGTCCTGGGTTCCTACCCTGACTTCCCTCAGTGATAAACTCTGACCTGGGAGATGTAAGATAAAATAAACCCTTTCTTCCCTAAGTTGGTTTTGCTCAGAGTGTTTCATCACAGCAATAAGAAAGAAACTAAAACAAGTTGGTACCAGACTATGGGGTATTGCTATGAGGGACCTGATGATATGTGTTGGGGAACACTGTGGAAGTTTTTGGCACTTCAGACTAGAAAAGTACTAAGATCTCAGTGAGCTGTTTTGTAGAAACCTGAAAGATAATGTTAAAAGAAGTATAGATAATGGAAGCCTGGCTTGTGAGGCTTCAAAGGGAAACAAAGACTCTATCAGGGCCGTTTGTGCCGAATTAAGAATTTTTGGAAGTGAAACCTTTTGGGCTTTACTGGAACAATTGATGCCTGGTTCACTGGGGCTGAAAATCAGCTGTGAGTAACAAGAAACCAGCATTATTGAGGTGAAAACCAGGAAGCATTTCTTTAGGATCGGCACAAAGGCCATGGTCCAGCAGGGGCCTGGGGCTCTATCTCAAGCTGCAAGCAGTACTTGGTAATGTGTAAGAGCCTCCTACATGGTACTGGTTTTGAAGGCACAAAGGGGTCCTGAAGAGCAGCTGAGGCTGGCCACTGTAAGAAGACAGGAAAGATCCCTGGTGAAGGTATGGCCTTGGTTGTAGTAGATACCCCAGAATACTAGAAATGCCAGAAGCATGGGATGACCATCAAGGGCAGCAACACATGCGATGCAGAGCTGGACTGAGCCTACAAGGCAAGTTGTGTGTGCTGTGGACAGCAGCGTCAGAGAAGTTAAGTTGGTGAAGCCCTCTGGAGCCCAGAAAATCATGAGTGAATCCCAGATATCCAGCCGTGAGTTACTTCACTGGACCTTGGTTTTGCTTAAGTGTGCCTGATTCTTCCCTTTTGAAGTAACTTGTTTTGGCTTTTACAGGAGCCCACAGGTAAGATACTTTTTTAAAGAAACTCTGAACTTTTAAAGTATTTGAACTTTTAAGGACTGTGGGACTTTTAATGTTTACTGTTTTATGTTGTAATGTTAATATGAGATCTTGGGGGATAAGAAATAGAAAGGGAGTGATTTAATAATGATGAGTCTGTGTCAAGTTGACAAGGGGTCAACTGTGCTGGATAGCTTTAGTTGTCAACTTTACACACGAGGGTGGAGGGAACCTCAGTTGCAAATTTCTTCTATTGGATTGGTCTGTGGCCATGTCTGTGGGGCATTTTCTTAATTGTTGAATGATGTGGGAGAGCCCAGCCTATTGTGGGTGGTGCCACCCCTGGGCAGGTGGGCCTGTGTTGTGTAAGAAAGCAGGCTGAGTATAGGCCAAGGAAGCAAGCCAGTAAGCAGTGTTCCTCTATGGTTTATGCATCAGCTCCTGCCTCCAGGGGTCCAGCCCTGAGTTCCTACCCTGACTTCCCTCAATGATGAACTGTGACCTGGAAGATGCAAGATAAAATAAACCCTTTCCTCCCCAAGCTGGTTTTGATCAGTGGTTTTTATCACATCAATAAAAAGAAACTAAAACACAAACCCAACAAAAGTTCAGTCAACTAGACAAATGCTAAGTAAGTACTATATCAGAGCACTCTGTGATGAGCTGAAATGTCTTTATACCTCTGCTTTGCTCAGGCTTACCCAAATGGATGAAGACCCTGTTGAGTCATGACCTAGGGGTAGGGTCTATTTACTTGACTAGA